ATGGAAAAACTATGGAACTTACACACACTTGCAGGTGTAAGCAGCGGCTTCATGCTGCTGAAGTTTGACCTCCCGGAATGGCTGTGACATTTGGAACAACCCCATGAAGGATGCCACATGGGAGAAGGTAGATGGGTTGGGGGGTGGTGGTGTGTACCAGAGCTTCAGCTTCAGAGAGTTGGCCTTGCCCTTTAAACTGCACAACTTTCCCAGATTCCTCTCCCCTGAGTGGTCTGGAATCTTCTCATTAACCATGTGAGATATTTTTTCAAAGTAGGAGTAAAGAGATCTCCTTGCAGGCAGTATCTTTCTCAGGACCACAATCCCTATTTCTATGAAGTTTAAACAGCCTCTTCAAACATTTATTCCAAACTGAGTGTCAACACCACGGCTGGCTGGCTGGTGGCCTCTCTCTGGGTGGAGAAATTTAAAGACTAGGACTGTATGCTGCAAATGTAACTACTAGAACATCAGGAAATAGAAAATGCCAAGCTACCAACATTGATATTTCTCTTCCCTCCCCCTTAAGAGCCACAGGCTTTCAGTCCATAATTTGAGGATTTGAGGGTATAAGGAACTAAGTGGAGTATTTGTCCAAATCAAATACTTACACTCTGGGAGGTTCATTAGGCTGTATTATTTTGGTGTTCATTACTAAAGTGACTTGGCTGGAAGGGAGGATGGGCAGAAGGTTGAACATGCAAGAAAGGCCCCCACTGTATGGTTTTAACAACCATTTTTGTTGGTGGCCATATATTTTAGGTGCTTATGCTCTTCATGAAAGGGCAGCTTAAAAGGAGTGATGATAATTCTTTGTGAGGGGTATAAGTAGAATTAGTAACTTTTTACATTTTTATCTGTAGTTTTTAGAGGCTTTCACTTCTTTTTTACACTCAGTCAACCAAGCTGAGTTATCTATGGCCTTGACCATAGATACTCCTCTTCTATACAAGAACCTGTGCTTCAGCTGTCAGATGCCACCTTTGTCTTTTTGTTTTTTTACTACTAACGTTTTGTCTCCCATGCCTGCACTCGTGGTACTTTGTCACACTTCTTTCCTTGTGCTTTTACAGTCTGTCACCCGTTAAGACTGTCATCTTTCCCATTTGGTGAAATTCTATTCATTCTTCAAACCTAGTCTAAATGTCACCTCCTGTATGAAGCCTTCAGTGTCCCTTGACAGTCCTTTATTCCCCCCTACTCCCCAGCAAATTTAATCATTCCCTTCTTCATCCTCAGAGCTTCAGGTACAGTGTGATAGTGTGTATACACATACGTATGGAGATCAAATAATTAAACAGCACAACTTAAGCATGCAGGAGATAAGTCACCTAAAATGCCTGTCATTGCAATTGGTAGGATTAAGATAATGCAACCTAGGCAGTAATCATAGAGTAAGGAACGCCCAAATAAATGCAGTAAAAGAAGACTTTTCTAGATAGCATCTAAACAGAAAACTGCTGCCCCCAATCCAGAAAGCCTACATCTAATACCACTCCTTTCTATAATGGAGCAGAAAGGAAAGAAAAGACAGTCTGTAGCAGTCATTTGATGGAGTCTGCTTTAGGGGAGACCCTAGTCTCCTTAAGTTTCTGTACTTGCTTAGAACTACCCATGCAGTAGCAATTAGGAATGGAAAAAGCTGGTGCTATAGAAATACAGATGCTAGGGAATCTGAGTTGAGAATCTGAACTATAATGTCAGAACTTTTGCAATTGTAAAAGGAGAGAGTTCTCTAAAGTTAGAATCACTCTGATGCAAGGTAGTAATGAATCTGACCAATCTGCTGAGGAGAAGATGGGACAGGGATCAAAATGGACAGCAGAACAAGGTCAGCAAATTACACAAACCAGTGAAGCTCAATATAAGAATCCAGAGGGGGCTTCTTCTGGCATTTGAGTTTCTAAAACCAGAGCCCAGGAAATTACAAGGAAGATGAAGGGCAAGGAATCATGCTCTTAGGAGAAATGTGAAGTGGAAAGGAAGAGCTGGAAGAGAAGCAAACACCTCAGGGTAGACTGCCTGCTTTGTGGTGGGACGCCACAAGTCCCACCACAGGCACATAGGATCCACAAGTCTGGAGTCAGGGAAACTCTAGAGAAGTAATGACTGCTTCAGTAGCTCAGTAGAGACTCTGGCACTTTGGTGTCTTGCCATGGGCTGCAAGTTGAGGCAGGACCTACAAAGCTTCAGAATTTCTTACTTTGGTGCAGTCTGGGAATAATAATAGTTTCCAGGAGTTCAAGAATGGCTCAATTCAGCACAGCATCCCCAGGCTAGAAGAGGCCCTGCACACATGAAGGGGGGATTGTGGATTGAGGCCAGCAGGATGGGACCATCTCAGCAGAAGCTGACATCATGATGTGACAGAGAACTAAATGCTGCAGAAGAGCCTTAGCACTAGCCCTTCCCCCTTACTGCTAGGAATGTCTATGGAATCAGGAAACACTTAGGCTTCAGTATGTCCCTCTAGCCACAGAGAACTTAATGTGTAAATTCAGGTGAATAACTCCAAATATTGAAAGTTCAATTTTTACATAGTTAGCTTAGCAGTCAGATTTGTGACTGCTGTGCATATATTGTATTTTATACATGTTGCTTATTTTGAATGAGTTTTTAATGCATACTTAATTTGATGTGGATTAGGTCACTTTCATTGATTTCCCTTGTTATTATTCTATTGATATCAGCAAGAAGTCCTACATTAAGATGACTTCAAGATACTGCTGCTTAAGATATCATAGCACTGCAGAATGACATGTGAACTGGGTGTATTTAGTGGGTCACCTTTCATAGTGGCACTATGAAATCTGCTTTTTTGTGTATTTGCTTACTTTTTTATCTGCCCATCCATGAAACTGTGAGTTCCTTATTCGGTATTGTTTCTCTGAGCCAAAACAGCCTGACCCAGAGGAGGGGTCTTAGAAACACTTGCTAAATGCGCTAAAGAAAGTTTCTAATGTTAGGAGCAGTAGCTTATTCTTACAATTCTTTTGTGGCCCCCTCTCAGATTCTGGAAGATTTGGGGGCACAGAAAAAGGGCTCAAAACTTGTCAAGTGAATGAGCAAATATAGCTTTATAAGAGTGAGATAAAATAGGTGACATCATCCAAAGGAAAATGACTCTGTATCTCTATTTTCCTTAGCTATATGTCTAAAGATCTGAGCGGAAAAACCTCCGTCTTTCCTTATCTTTTCTGCCCTGAGAGGAAATGATTACTGTTGAACTCAAGACCTAACAAAAACACAAGAAACCTTTTTAAAATACTACAAAGAAGAAACTAACATGTATTCATTTTTCATTTCCCATTCCCACTTCAGAAATATTTCTGATTCTTTTTATTTTTAAATATAAGAACTCAGAAAAAAAAATCAGTTCTGTAAACGCTTTAAAGTGTAAAGTTCTGTAAAGTTTTAAAGTGGGATCCCAGGCCCCCAGTGCCTGGCACCCTTGTTGCATTAGTTAGTTCCAGAGAAAGAATTGACTTTCTCTCTCAAGATTGACTTTGACTGAGTTTTCTCCCATAAGTTTCACTCCCCCAGTGACTGAGCTTCCTGCCTGCCCCCGCCCCATTTCTATGAAGCCCAGCACCCTTTCTCAGGCCAGCTGCTTCTCAAGTTGAATCCAGGTTCTAGACCAACTCTCGGAACTCACATTACTACCCTCTTTGCACCAGAATGACCAGCTTCATCCAGTGTGCCCCACATGCAGCTCTTATATCCTCTCAACTCGTTCATATACCAAGCCTGTTTCACACCTGTGGTGGACCTCCATTTTCACTTGCAGAATTTTCCTTCTTGATTGTAGATATTTCATTCAATGTATTAGTCAGGGTGTTTAACTGCAATAACAAACAACCCCAAACTTGTAGAAACTTAACATTAAAAAAATTTATAGTTTGTTCACAATGCAGTTCAATGCAGGTCAGAAGGATCTGCTCCATGTGGAATCTGTTCCACGTGGTTGCTCACATCCATTTTCCTTCCACTGGCTGCTTCTGACCTA